CACATCCACACCACCAGCCCTGCATTCTGAATCCCTTGTAGCATTCAGCAGACTGGTTGGAAAGAGAGTTTGAAAGCACCCCGGGCACCTGTCTCTCCCAAAGGAAATTGGGGAGCAGCACCAACCCAACCACCCCCTCACCCTTCATCTCAGGGGCTCTAAGGCCATCTCATGGGACTGTGTAAGGCCCTGCTCAGGAGAAGTGAGATGACCCTTTACTGCTCGGAGAACAAGAAGGAGCGATGGATACTCCCACATGCTCCTATTTGTCCCTATGATGTCTTTCTCCCTTTGCTTTCGCCCCACTCCTGGCAGCACTGCATCCGCCTCTAAAGAGACTCAAGGCAAGGCAGCTGGGATGAAAAGATGGGGCCGCTCGCTCCACTCCCTTAGGGGACTGCCCTGAAGTTGCCATAAGTAAAAGGCATTGTTTGGAGGGCGTTGAACCTGGAAGAGGCTGCTCACCCTTCTGTGTGCCCAGATGGTTCTGATCAAGGGGCATGGGCTACCTTGCCAACCTGGCCCACAGCCCTGGCAAACAGCAGCTGTGCCAGCATCCAACACAAGAAGGGAGGGGAGGGGAACTTCTGCCTAGGGGCTCAGCCCTGGAAACTGAAGCTGCAGTGGGAAAGGGGGTGGAAGGAAGGGGGGGGTGTTAACTCTTTCGGTGACTCTCTCCACTGTGCTGGGGCAGGATAACTGGGGCCAAGAGGGGCCTCCCCCACCAGATCATCATTTCACTGAACTCAAGTTGGGGTGAATGCAGCAGGGGGCGCCTGTGGCACCCTGAGACCCACCACCTCCCCCAAAGACCTTTGTGAAGACATAAGGAGTCTCTTCCCCTGGGGAGCAGAGAACCTGAGGTGTGCCAGGCAGAAGAGAACTGGCCTTCCAGGGGGCCACGGCTCTTTAGAATAAGAATCTGGGCAGCCACTGCAGTGCCGGTGGCAAGCACTTTGTTGTGGTGGCAGCCTTGGCTGGGGTCCCTATTCTATCACCTGTGCAGAATAATCCTGACAAGGAGCAGCCGGCTGCACTTCTCTCACTCCATCTTTCTCACCCTTTAGTCTTTAAGAGATGTGTTCTCAACCGGAAAAGAGTAGGAAACCACAGGGGTGAGAGGTCTGGCTGGCTGTTTCTGTGGCCACTGCACAGGTTGGTTTACCCCCAGGAGGCTGGCCTGCGGGGTATCCGTGCAAGGGTCACAAAGGTGATTCGGGCAGCCTGCCCCACCTGCTATAAGATAAACTCGCCCATTGAGTTTATCTTTTCGCTGCCTTCTCTGACTCCTCTGTTCAGCAAAGGCCTCGGAGAGTGACAGGAGGAGGACTTGTCCCATCTCACGTTAGCTCTGTAAGAATCGGGTTTCTAAGGATGCCACCGGAAAGGACCGGGTGCGTGCATGCACGCCAAGACCTGGACTGCTCCGCATACAGATGGGTTTCTGACAAGCCTAAGAACCAAGAGGTAGGGAATCCAGTGAGAAAGAGGGGAGCTACAGAAGAGCCATTGTGGCTCAGTCTTCTGAGCCTTCGGAAAGCCTTCCTATCAGCTCACTCCCCATCTCCTAGACACCTGAGAGACTTACGTATGTGCTTCTAGACACACTTTGCATCTGCAGATGACACAGCTACCTGGAGGCCAATATGCTTCAGAGCACAGCTCCAGAATAGGCTCCACTAGGTAGGCTTTAAGGTTCGGGTGCGTCTGAGAAATGGGCCTTCTTTGCAGCAGAGCTGCCTGGATGCCCTGTGTGCCCCATATCTTGACCAGCTAGCTCGTGATAACCCCATCCCCTGTCCCTTCCACACTCACACACCTTTCTGAGCCACCTGCCTACCCAGCCAGCTAACGTGGATAGGGAGAACTGTCAGAATAGGCATCAGCAGCTCTCCCTAGGGGATCTACTTCCAGGTCTTCAAACTCTCTCTGCTGGGCCAGCTGCTCCACCCCATCCCCACTTAGACTTCCTAATTCTGTGACCTGCCTGCACCCTTGAAGTCCCCATTCTGAGGTGGGAGAAGGGCAGCGCTCAGCCTTCCTCTGATCATCCACTGGCCCCTCTGGGTTGACACACTTCACTGGTTGTGGAGACAACACCAAGCATATAGCCTTGAACTCTGCAGCCCGTTCCCCTTGGCTTCCTGAAACTGCCCCAAGCTCAGCTGGGAGAAAAGGGAAAATCAAGTCCTGCCTCTTCCAGTGGCTACTTCGAATTAAAGCCCCAGTCCTTTATCTGCACCTCTCTAAGGAACCGGCTAGAAACTTTATTCATACAAATGGACGCATTGGCAGGCAGCATGCAGTTGGAAAGAAACCGTAGCTACCCTTGAGGGCTGGCAGGGCTGGGGTTCCCTTCATCACTCACCGTCAGCACTTCTACTCTAAGCATCTGTGGGGCTGCCCGGGATCTGGGAGGTCTCCTTGAAGATGCAGCACTCTGGGAGGAAGTTCCTCTCTTGGTGTGTGTAATTTACCGCAGGTTTTACCCTCATTTTCTTAGAGGAAAGACCTGTGAAGGAGGGGAAGACTGAAGGGGGGGTGGGGGGGGGTGCGTGGGGGTGGAGTGAGGCTCCCAGAGGTGATGTGACTTTCCCAAGGTCATGTGGCTGATAAGTGACAGCATTGGGTCTGCAGCCCCGGCTTGCCACACACTCTTGAGTGTAGTGTCTTTTCGTCATGGGGAGGGTCTGTGACTCTCTGACTCTCTTTACCCCCTGCCGCTTGTCTCTGGTTGGGGAATGGGTCATGAACTCCAGCATTGCAAAGACCCAGCCAACTGGGGGGTTCCAGATGGGTCACCCTGCTGCACTACCACAGTCTCCCAGAACTCCAGAGCAATTGAGTTCCTGTAATCCCTTGACAAAAGGAGGCCCTGCCTCCTGCCACTTAACTGGTTTCAAAGTTAAGAAGTGCAAACAAAGGGGCCTTTCTGAAAGAAGGGGACTACCTTGAAGGAGGCTGAGGTGCATCCAGTTGCAGCTAATTGCAACCTTGGATGAAACTGGAGCAGGGAAGTGGGGCAGGTGAGTAGGGCCTCCTGCTCACACTGGGAAGGCTCTGATCTTCATGGGCACCCACAACCTGGCAACCCTTTGGTGATCAGGTAAGTAAGCACTGTGACCACTGTGCCACTATGACTCCTCGGTACATGTGAAGTGCTCAGAAAAGTATGGCAACTATTGTAGTTGCCTTGTATGATGGGAGCCATTTCTCAGGGTGGAAGGCAGTGTGCTCACTTGCAGTCCAAGTACCAGCCTCAGCTGTTTCAGCTTCAGAGCCCTGTGGGGGCAGACACACTTCCTTTAGCAGCTTGCTTCATCTCAGGGGCTCTAAGGCCATCTCATGGGACTGTGTAAGGCCCTGCTCGGGAGAAGTAAAATGCTCTGAGAACAAGAAGGAGCGATGGATACCCCCGCATGCTCCTCTTTGTCCCTGTTACATCTTTCTCCCTTTGCTTTCGCCCCACTCTTGGCAGCACTGCATCCGATTCTAAAGAGACTCCAGGAAGGAAAGGTCATGGCACCTGTTGCTGAGGTCAGTTTTCACGGTGCCACTCTTCCTGTCTTGGCCTCTCCCAAGTGCACAACTTGTAAACACAGTGGGACCTACAGTGGGAAGAGGAAACAAGCAATATGTGATGAGTGAACGTGCTGGCAGAAGAGTGAATCGTGGGAAATGTGCATGACTCAGCCCCAGTGCCCCTCATGCCCCCTCATAGTGGGCCCAGGCTGCCAAAAGAGCTCCATGGGAAAAGTCTCCTGATAAAAGTCTTCTCTTATCAGAGGACCTAGGTGGTTTTATAACCCAGCTTAGTGGGTGTGTTAATCTGGGTCGACTCAAGAAACAAATCCAGGGAGACTCGTTTGTATGAGAAAGAGCTTTCTATACAAGAGCAATTGAATATTAAGAAAACATTCCAGCCCAGTCCAGATCAAGTCCATAAATCTGATATTAGCCCTTATGTCCGATACCAATCTGTTAATTTCTCTTCAGACTCTTGCAGCACATGCAGTGATGCCGAATGCAGGAAGACCACAGGCCAGTGGGTGGGAAGTCTTGTGCATCCAGTGGTGGTGGAAGCATCTCAGTGCTGGTGTGGGTCTCTACATAGCTCTTCCAGCTGCAGGGCTCTTTCTTGCTCCATCAGCATAGTGCCATGTGGCTTGTCGACAGGAAGACAAAGCAGAGAGCGTGTGTCCTGCCTCCAGTGAGCTATTTATCTCCTTAGCACCTCCAAATGAGGCCATCAAGCTGCGACCTGATTAACAGGCTAAACTCCATCCCTTCACTCTCAATAGTCTCAAGTTGACACCAGATTAGGTAACTACCACAGAGGATTTGTTTCTCTAGTCAACCCTGACTAACACAGTGGGCTACAGTGCGTTACTCTCTTCCAGGCCCTGGGAGAACCCCCAGATTCCTCAAAATTGGCCTGCCTTTCTCTAAAGAGACTTAAGGGCATGACACCTGCACATTTTAGTCAAGAGCAGGGTTGCTTGACACCCCCTGACTAGATTGCTCTTGAACAGCCACCAGTCTGTCATGGATTTTTAGATATTATCTCCCACCTGCCCACCTCCCCCATGGGCGAGAGTGGGGGCAGACAGTTCTGCTTACAGTCTTCAGCCTGGATTTGTGTAATGAACAGGGAGGTATAAATAGACACCAGATGGTGGAGCAAGTGCTCTGACCTTTTCTTTGACCGGTTCTGCGCCTGCCCCCATGGTGACTGGGAGCCAGACCTGCCCTGTGGGTCCAGAGGGTTGGCGGAGAACCAGAGACTTACAGAACTGTGGCCACCAGCCCCACCCAGGTTCAGTGGCTTCTTCCCTCTATTGAACTGTAAAATGCATCACAAATAGTAGGCATGCCTGCTTCCGTCTCCCCGAAGTGCCGACTGAAGGGAAGAATTCGAGGATGGCAGTGCGTCCAGTCTCTTAAAACTCCAAGAGAGAGTTGAGTGAAGTTGAGGCAAAGGGCACCAAGGTTTGGGATTTTAAAAGAAATGCAGGCACCTGTAGTCCAGGTCACCCTGTTGCAGGGAATATTATCTTCTGAGGTAGTCAGCAGTGAGGCCGAAAACAGAAAAAAACAAACAAAAGCCAAGTGCCATCAAGCCATTACAGCCCATGGTGACTCCCATGTAGGTCAGAGCAAAACTGTGCTCCAGGTGGTGTTCATGGCTGTGACCCTGGGGTAGAAAGAACGTCACCGGGCCTTTCTCTGAGGTGCACTCGGCCTCCAGTCTTTCTGTTAGCAGCTCAGTGCTTAGCCATCTGTGCTAACGCGGGACTTCTTCAGCAACCAAAGGGGCCTTGAGCATGTCAAGTTCAACCCCCTGCTCTGAAGCAAAATGGGCCCACGCTGGATCAGCCAGAGAGTTCTAAAGTCTCTGGAGAAGACCCTCACAAGAACTTCCAGGAACCCATCTGAAAATTTGAGTGCCTTAAGATTTTAAGTGTTGGGCAGCTCCTGCTGCCATCTGGCCTGTCCTTCCTGTTGCTCAAGTCCCTCTGATTCTCCCTGAGGCCAGGGCCCTGGTGTTGCCTTTTGCTCAGCTGTGCTGCCTGAGAGCCGCCAGAGGCTCTGCCCTACTTGGGAACACGGCCCCTTCTTTCACGTCAGGTCTTCGGACCTATGCCAGACCTCCTCAGACTGTGTGTGTAGCTGTTGACATCCCTTGTCACCACGCATCATCTTCCCCAGACATTGGCTTACCCAATTATCGGATTGTAAAAGGGAGGCTTCAAGAGGCGGAAATCTTATGAGGATAGTTGCAAGTTGCCTTGGAACTTGACCCTAAGCCCATCCAATCCTCTTCCTCCCTAAGGTGCGCGCCGGGAGACTCCTGCTGCCTTCGAGGCAGTGAAGACCTGGCCAGGAATTGGTTCCAGTCAGTTGCCATTCCTAAGTCTTCACGCTCAGTTGCATAGTGATCTGATAGCTATTTTCTGCAGGAACCCAACTCTGAAAGTTTCAGCTTTCCTGATAAGACATTGACATCAGCCTGACATAGCTGGAGTGCTTGACACGCCAAGCAACCTGCCGGCCCGTTTGTCGGACTGACCAGGCACCTGGCTGCTTGCCTTCGAGGGGGACAGATCTCATTCACAAATAGTGGAATTGTAATGAGAATATACCTCTCTGGTGTTCGCTCCTTCCCTCCCCTCCCCTCTCACTGTCCAGACCACGGGAGAGGAAAAGAGCCAACAGGAAGTGGTGTTATAAGGGACAGATACATGGAACAGACAAGCAACAGCTTGGTGGGCCATGGCCCTGGTGAAAGGTGCCTCTACCCCTGTGCCTCCCCTTCTGCACAGTCATTGCAGAGGACCCGCTTCAAGAGCTCCCTGAAGCAGAAGAGTGAGCTCCAATCTGGCCACCTCTCAAAACCTTAGATTCTAGCATGGGAGCGGTTAGAAACCACAGGACCAAGCAGATAGGAACAAGATTGAGCAGTGATACAGGGTTGGACGCATGCATAAGCCTCAGACCTGGGTCATCTCACACACACACACACACGTGCGTGCATACATGCACAAAACATTTGCCATTAAGTCAGCTCTGACTCCTGGTAACCCCGTATGTATCCCAGTAGCACTTAGCTCTATAATGCTTTCGATGATGGATTTTTCAGAAGTCCATGGCCTGACCTACTAATGATACACCTCTGGGTGGGTTCAAGTCATCAGCCTTTGGGTGAGTAGCTGAGTGCCTGTTTGCGCCAGCCAGGGACTCTCTTGGGAGTCGAACAAGGCCCATCGATTCTTTCAAGCCTTAGGTACACACACACACACACACACACACACACACACACGCACGCACGTGCGCAAAGACAACCTGCAGAGCTATCCAGGCAGAAGCCAGGACACCAAGCACTGGAAAACACAGGGAAGAGCATGGATTTAGAAGGCAGACATATCTGGACAGGCGGCCTTGCTCTGTGGTCCCTGGGACAGCAGACGAGTGTGGACGCTTGGTGAACTTTTGCCTCCACATTCATAATGTGAGGACTACAGCATTGCCTTCACAGAGTGATTGTGAGCAACCTATGCAAAGTCACTGGAGCAGACCAGCGTGCAGGGCAGCTTTGCTGGTATGGAGCATCAGGCCAGAGCTTGCACAGTCCACAATTCCCAGAAGCTCTCCTCTCCTGAAGAGCACACAGTTGCCCCAACAGGAAAACACTCAGCTGGATTCAGAGAGAGAAATTCTACTAACCTTGAGCACTCTGATAATTGCTTCTGGGCTGAGGCCTGAGAGGGGTTGGGGCCTGCTGGCAGGGAGACAATTGGTGTCAAGGTTAAGACATAACAAGCAGCGCCGTCCAAAAGAACTTCCTGTCCTGGTGGAAATGATCTATAGTCACAGTTGATTATGGTAGTCACTTGCCATATAGGGTTATTAACACCGCTGGCATGTCGATAGTTGACTAAAGAACTAATTTTCATTTTACTTCACTTGAATTAATTGGGACTTAAATATAGCTCCCCATGGTTGGTGCCCATGGTCTGAGACAGCACAGGGCTAGATGTTTGGTGTATAAGCTTTTGAGAGAGTCTGAGTTCTAATTTTGGCTCCACATTTACTCCCTGTGTGAGTCTAAGCCAATTACTGAGTTTCAGTTTGTTTCCTATGTAGAGTGCAGAGAAAATAAAGCCAAGGTATTGGTGAGTCTTATACATGATGTTCCATATAGAAGGTTCAGCTTGGCTCCCAGCATATATGCAGTCGGGGCCCCAACACAAGAAGTTGGCAGGCAGAGGGCCATGGATCTCACCTTTCCCTTGCCTATTCCTCCTCCCGGACAGAACCATATCCTGACACTGATGTCCGTGGCAGCCCAGATCTACAAGCACCCTAGCATCAGGAATGCTGTCAACCTGGTGGTGGTGAAAGTGTTGATAGTGGAAGACGAGCAGTGGGGCCCAGAGGTCTCTGACAACGGGGGCCTTACTCTGCGCAACTTCTGCAGCTGGCAACGGCAGTTCAACCACCCCAGCGACCGCCACCCAGAGCACTACGACACAGCCATCCTGCTCACCAGACAGGTCTGTGGGCTGGAGACCCAGGGGAGGATGGGCGATGGAGGGCGGATCAAGGGAAGGACCACTGGGCTGCCCTTACATGGGAAATGTCTGACCGCAGCCAGAAGCAGAGAGAGAGAGAGAGAGAGAGAGAGAGAGAGAGAGGAAGAGAGGGAGGTCATGAGGACAGGAATCAGAGTGTGAGGTATTTGCAAGGGAAGGAGAAGAATCTCAGAGGGCTCTTTTCCAAAAGTTTGTGACCAGCTGGCTGCTGAGGTCATAGCCAGAGGAAATGGGCTCAAATTGCCAAGAGAGGTTTGGAGTTGGGATTATGCAATGCATTTCATCTTCGGTGGTTTTTAGACACGGGGGCAGGCAAGCACTGGGGTGTCCTCAAAATCAGGACAGTGGCTGCTCTACTGGGAATGGTTCGAGTGGACAGTTTCCTGAAGGGGAGAAAATGGAGTACTAGGTGCCAGGTGCTGTTCCCTCCTCCACACCTCACAACCACCCCTGGACGGGTTAGCCTCCTTTTATCCTGGGGAGACTGAGGCATGGAGCAACCTTCCATTTAAGCGGTAGTGCCCTCATTCAAGCCCAGGCTGGCTTGCCGCAAAGCCAGTGTACTTAGCCACTATGTCATCCTTCGTCTGAGAACAGCCTTGTGAAGTTCTTCAAGCCCTAGGTCATAGTCCACATGGAGAAACAAAGAAGTTCTTAGTGAGTGGCTTTGTAACAGAAACCATTTGGATTTTTAAATTCCCTTCAATTCAGGGCAGCAATAGGGAGAGTTTCTGTTCTATGGCTCTCAGAAATCCAAGCCTTTGTGGTTTGTGGGTTTTGTTGTTGTTTTTGCCCTCTAACAAAAGGAGTCACAAATCACTGAATCAGAGACTTTGCTGCTGCTGCTTCTGCCTTAAGGAAAAAAGAAGAAAAAAAAAAATCAATGCCACATGTGCCCTTCAGACTGATACCTTATGGGAAGTTCAGATACGAAGTTCCACATTCACCGGCACAGGCCCCTCCCTCCCTTCCCTGGTAACTGGCCGCCTTCCCACACATATACTCCTGCTTGCGCTCGTGCTCTCGCTCTCTCACTCTTGCTCTCTCTCCACCAAGCAGAACTTCTGTGGGAAGGAGGGTATGTGTGACACCCTGGGTGTGGCTGATATTGGCACAATCTGCGACCCCAGCAAGAGCTGCTCTGTAATCGAGGACGAGGGACTCCAAGCGGCCTACACGTTGGCCCACGAACTAGGTAAGACTTGCCAGGCCAAGGTCTCCTTTATCATGTCTGAGGCAACTGCCTCTTCCAAGTCCAAGTTACCCAAGCCCAGAAGGAACAGGCAGCCTTCCCTCTTAGCCCTTATCCCGTTGTAATTGAGACAGAAGGTCTGTCACCATGTAGACCCTGTGCTTGACGTCACACAGGGAGAGTGGATATGACTACTGCCTTGGACTGAGTGCACAGCCAAGATGTTAAGATGTTATCTTGTTTACGCCTGCAAGCTGGGAAGCGAATGTTTGGGTGAAGTTGAACTGCTATATACAAGCTAAACAGTAAGGGTTTCTTGAAAAATCAACATAAGGATAATACCATCCAGGCCAACAACTAATAGGCCCACATGTGAAAATGGGGAGGCACCCGTGTTCTTTAGGAGCTCAGACAGCATTCTGAATGGAAAATCCAAAGGGAGTGAGGCGCAAGCTTCCCATGATGGCTGGGTCACTGGGTGGCACTTCGGTGTTGGCAGAAGCTGGCTCTCTCTTGGAGTCCCTGAATGGTGCAAATGGTGAATGCACTCAATTGAAAGGCTGGTAGTTCAGATCCACCCAGAGGTGCCTCAGAGGAAACTGATGACCAACCTCCCCACAGAGCAGCCATTGAGAACCCCCCGGAGCACAGTACTACTCTGACACACAGGGGTCTCCCTAAGTCAGGATCGGCCCTGTGGTAACTGGTTTAGTTTACTGGTTCGACTGTCTCCTACATTAAGCTGGGTCCAGCAGGAAGGACAACAGGGTAGGGCATGCTGGAGAGGAGCGAAGTCAAACCGGGTCTTCCTTCACTGCTCCCCAGGACACGTTCTCAGCATGCCTCACGATGACTCCAAGCCCTGTGAGCGCCTCTTTGGGCCCATGGACAAGCACCACATGATGGCCCCACTTTTCGTCTACCTCAACAAGACGCTGCCCTGGTCGCCCTGCAGTGCCATGTACATAACAGAGTTCCTGGACAGCGGTCACGGTAGATATTACCCAGGCTCCCACCTCCCCACCTTCTCTGCCAGCTGTTGAGCTCCAGCCCCGGCTGGTACTTGCATGACATGGGGAGATAGTTCCGTAGTGCTTTATCAATCACAGAGCACCGTGACACTCAGTGTTGCATGTCAACTCAGAAGAGCTCCCTATCTCAGCCCCCGTGCTGTAACATTTTAACCATCCCCAAAGCATGCTACCTCTTCCTTATCTTCCAATAGCCCGGTCCTGATTGTCTAGAGCAGTTCTCAACCTGTGGGTCGCGACCCCTTTGGGGGTCGAATGACCCTTTCACAGAGGTCGACCGATTCATAACAGTAGCAAAATTACAGTGATGAAGTAGCAACAAAAATAATTTTATGGAGGGGGGGTGGTCATCACAACATGAGGAACTGTATTAAAAGGTCGCGGCATTAGGAAAGTTGAGAACCACTGGTCTAGAGGTTACTAGCCACAAAAGGGGGAACTCGGCCTCAGAAAATGGTCTGGGTTTGAACAGAACTTAAAGGAAAGGAAGGAAGTTTATCGTACATTAGAGGAATTAGAACCAGGTCACAGTGATAGATCACATGATAAGTCAGCAGTAGCCAAATCTCTGTGAACAATTGTGTGACAGTGAGCGGCAGGTGGTGATAGGGAGGTGGCTTGCCTTAGAAAACAGTTCTTGAATTCTTCCCATTGAGGAAGACAGATACACGAATGCAAAGCTCTGACACTGTCCAGGCAGTGATACTCTGCCTTTATTGTTTGCATGACAACATTTGTAAGGACAGATGTACATGCCTAATGATTAGGTGAGTTAAATTAATATGGACCCTTGGATGGTGCAATCCAATACTACTAACCAAACTACTTACCAAAAGGTTGGCATCAATTCAGAGGCACTGGTAACCTGCTTCTGAAAGGTACTCTGTCTCCGTGGGATCACTAGGAGCGGAAATGGAATGGATGGGTTGGGTTTGGCGCGTTTACAGTCGGATTTCCATTAACTATGTACCCTTGGCCCTCACTGAATGATCAAGGGAAAATGCACTCTAGATGTTCTTGGTGACAAAAGAAAATCAGTCCTTAAAAACAATGCTACTGATAATAAAAGATTGGATGGGCCCTTTGTAGATAATTGGGTGCTGGCACTTTCAGTTGAGCTCAAAGGAACTGCTTTCCATCCAATCGATAGACATTCCAGTGTGACATGGGAGGCTCCAGAGAAAAGGATATCCTGCCCCTTACCCTCATCCTCTGCTTCCTCCATCTCTCAGGAGACTGCCTCCTGGATGCCCCCACTTCACCACTGCCCCTCCCAACAGACCTTCCGGGGCGCAGGACCCTCTATGCACTGGACCAGCAGTGCAAGCAGATCTTTGGGCCAGGCTTCCGCCACTGCCCCAACACCTCTGTGCAAGACATCTGCACCCAGCTCTGGTGCCATTTGGAGGGCACCGAGCCCTTGTGTCACACCAAGAATGGCAGCCTGCCTTGGGCAGATGGGACGCCTTGTGGGTCCAAGCACCTCTGCTGGGAAGGCAGCTGTCTGCCTGAAGAGGAAGTGGAGCGGCCCAAGGTGAGTGGCAGCCAATGGTCAGCACTGGGGAGGGAGGATGTTTCACAAGGGAGAACAATACTTGGGAGTCCGGAACTAAGAGACTTCGGGACTAAGGGACTCTGGGCTTTGCTGCAAGGTCTGACCCTATCATATCATTCACCTTTTAACAAACAAACCAAAGCTTATTTATCCAAAAGATTTGAGGCAGTACTCCTAGGCAAAAGAATGATGTTACCATTCTTCCAGAGACTTCTTGAGCACCCCCTTCGAAAATGCTTGGGAGGGAGGCAACATGAAGGCTTGGTGATAAACTATGGAAGACTGACAGAAACATTGGCACAGGTCATTCGATAAGTAGAAGTCATTTTTAACACGATTCCTGGCACAGAGGGTGACAGCAGAAGTTACTGTGGTTAGGTGCTATCGAGTCAGTTCCAATGCCTCCCGACCCTGTGTGCCACCTCGTCCCCGTGCTGTCCTCACAGTGGCTCTTAGGTGTGAGCCCGTGTTTGCAACCACTGTCGACCCCTCTCATTGAAAGCAAGAGGAGGCACATTCAGTTCATTAAGAATTGAGTGAAAAGTCTTCGTGTTGAACCCATGTGGGAGCTGAGTCATTCCTAAGGAGCCTTGGGGCCAGGGAATGGGATGGGGGTGGGGAGGGGAGAGAGGTGGGGACAGTGACTATGAGAGTAAGGGTGAGGATTCCATACTCTAAGTGCAGAAGGAATAAGGTCTGCCTCCAACCAGGCGGAGAAACTTGGCCCTCTACAGAGTCAATGTGCAAGAAATGCCAGAGAGGGGTTTTCAATGATTTGCTTCTCTGCCTTGCTCTAATACTCCACATGTGAGGCTGATCAAATTTCTCTCCCCACATCGAGCCATACCGATGAAATAGCATCCTACTAGCTTCCCAGGCTGGGACCAACCCAGCCTGAAGCTCCAGGGTGGCCTGGAATTCTAGAGACCTGGCCTCAGTCGGATGTCTTCTGAACTGAGACCCAGGAGCTTGTGTGGGAAGTGTCAATCACCCTGTCCTATACGCTTCTTCTCAGCCTCCTTCCACCCTCCCTCGTGATCGCAGACACTGGTGTGCATCTGCTAGGGGCCGATTCCCTCCTAGCCCAGTCTCCTCAGCAGTAGAGGAGGAAGCTGGCAAGCTATGAGGTTTACAACAAATTTTGAAGGCAAGAAGACAGATCATAAACTATGACGGTAAATCAAAAGTTTTGCTAATAAGGTCTGTGTTCACACATGCATGGGTTTATTCTAAGCAAGCATGTTTATACATGTCTCTACAATCAGTACAGAGACAAGTTCTCTCAGCAACACATTCATCTTAGTCTCGTGAGGGTGCCTTCACAAAAAGAAAGAAAGAAAAGATCCAATCAAAACAGTGGCTCTGAAGAGCCCCTGCTAGACCAACTAAATGCAGGGCAGAGTTGTCCGCTCAAAAGGTTATAGTGACTGACTGTTTGGGGGGATTCCGGAGGAATAATCTTGACAGATTTTCTAGGACACAAGAGCTTATGAAGAAGGGTTGGGAAAAAATTGAAAACTTCATTGCTGAGTAAAGGTCAGAAAAGTTGTGCCAAGGAATGTGTGTCCTTTACCGCTGTATACTTTTTTCAAGGATAGCCAGGGCTGTCCTGTGGGAATGTCATTGGGACGCTTGACCCCATCCACCCTGTGTCCCTGACCTTGCCCCTTTAGACTTCTTTCTTGTTCCCCGAACTCCAAGAACCTTTGAAAGGGACGTGGCATGAGTCCTTTGAGGATGTCAAGACTGCTGTTTTGACGTGGTGTCAGGCAAAGAGCATCGACTTCCTCAGGGAAAGGGTTAACGAGAGATGAAGCACCGCGTCCCAAAGTTTGTAGACCGAGATGGAGGACCTGTGGAGGAGTGAGCCTCTCACGTTTGATATTATGGTTTCATGAAGGTGTCTATGATTTATATCAATTCCTTTTTAGCCTACTATCATATCACATAAGGCTAGGACCCTATCTTTGGTAAGAAAAGGCCTTCGCAGGGGTGTATTGAGAGAAAAAGTATAAAAAGGTAGGGACAAAATCATGCCAATGGTTTTATCTGTGCAGTTCTACTTTGCTAGTGTTAATATTTTTTATAGTTGTCGGTTTTTCACGTTTTACAAAAGGAACTGTTGCTTATTTTCATCATTGTTTTCTTGGGTACTACAACCAGATCAATAACAAAGCATCTGCCCAGTCCGCATTTTTACATGTGCGGTGGCATCTATGGGTAAATTGATTGCATTCACCATGTAGGGAAGGGTTACTTTGATCATTTTTGACCAGCCATCTTCAGTCTGAAAATATGTGTAAGACTCTCCCAAGGCCAAAGCGTTGTTCTCATAGGTCAGTTGTAAAACTGGAAGCAACTGTGTGTATGTCTTCAGCATTTTCCATCCTGGACCTGTGGACGGACTGTGGACTAATGACTGACTACACATTAGTAACTGTGGACTAAGGACAAACCCTGCCAGTGATTGCCACTTTAGTCCAGGGCTTCTCAACTGCAGTACTCTTGACATTTGGGGCAGGGAACGTCTCCCTTGGAGGGGGAGAGGGTTCTTCTATGCATTGTAGGGTTTTCAGCGGAATCTCTTCTGTCCCATTCCCTAAATACCAGTAGCACTCTTCCCCAGTTGTCACAACCGAAATGTCTCCCCAGATTGCCAGTCATCTCCAAGGGAACAAAAGCAGCCCAGATTGAAAACCCTTACATTTGGACTCATGCTTATTCCTATAAAAGACTCTCATTTATCCATTCACTCAGCCAACATCATAGCGAGCATCTTAGTAAGGACGAGGACTGATGGATCACTCCAAGGATCCATCACTTGGGAATTAGCAATGAGCACAGCTCACTTCACCAAGAAGGCCACACATGCTAACTGCCTGGACTGCATGCATAAGAATAACTAGGTGAAGAAATCAGGGCAGTGGCCACCGGGCTACACAAGAGACTGGACATCCTTACTCATCCCCACATTCAGTGCCGTGTTGTGTGTTACAGGCTGTGGTGGATGGAGCCTGGGCCCCATGGGGACCGTGGGGTGAATGTTCCCGCACCTGTGGTGGAGGAGTTCAGTTTTCATACCGTGAGTGCAAGGACCCTGAGCCTCAAAACGGAGGAAGATACTGCCTGGGTCGGAGAACTAAGTACCAGTCATGCCAAACAGAGGAATGCCCACCCAATGGTAATGGCACTTAGGGCAGTACTAGCCAAAGCAGCCACAGCTGTTGCTGCAACAAATCCCTCAAGGGGGAGTAGGGTGGGTCTTCTGAGGAATAGCATGTTTTTCTGAGCTCCCTACATAAAAGGGTGCTTTAAGGTGTCAACATTGGAGGCCATCCTTAGAGACCCTGACAGCTTTTATTGTGTGGGAGAGCCTGGCCAAGTCAAGAAGAGGAAGTGCCCCTGTCTTCGCATGCGGATGCAGAGGATGCCACTCCCTAAGTTCCTCAGGAAAGGACTTTGCAAGGGGGCTAGTGTCTAAGATAAAAATCTTCCTCGAGGCATGTGAATCTTCATCTGTGTGTATAAAGGAAGTGTTTTCCAAAGCAAGTTCAGAGCCAAACCTCCAAAGTCTTTCTAGCCAACATTCAGCCCCGGGGCAGTGGGAGGATTTCTGATTCTGATTCCATCACACATTCCTTCTCAGAAGAGTTGCCTATCTTCCCTGAGGACCATAGCAACTGCCCTGGTGAACCTTCCCAGGGGGCAGCGCTGCCTTTACCGCCCTGTGGAATATTCTCTTCCCCGGTACTCACAAGAAAGCACACGTACTAACTTAGAAGTAGGAAGGACATCAGAATAGCTTGGCAGAGGGACTCATTCCACATTCTCCACTCCCCATTGCTCCCAGCTCCCCTTTGTGCAGCTCCAGGAAGGATTGGCAGGCATGAAAAGACAAGTAGAGCCTTAAGAGACACTCATTCAAGTGCAAAGATAAACTGGCATTGGGGTTGGTGTCTAACATAGGAATCTGTAGTCATTGCAGTTTTGCAAAATGGGAAAGATCAGAAGCGGCAGGAAGCTCCAGAAACTTTGCCCTGAAATTGTGAGGGTTTAGGTGGCATCCGGGGTAAAGTGTGCCTGGTCCTTTAATCAAGATGGGTGTGGTAAGAATGAATGTGAAGTAGAAGGTGGATGTGGGCAATAGGTGACATCATGGTTTCATAGGCATCAGGATCAGCCTTTTCCATCAAGTGTTTGTTCGTACGTCTTGTCTACCTCGGCCTGTGGTAGGTAGTGTAAATATAATCAATGACATACAAAATGTACACACCATGGCCTCTGTGCTGAAAGAGTTTACAGTTCATTAAAAGACATAGCCGTTTTACTCAGCAAAGTTCAAAGCCAACCACCATCGACCTGATGCCAATGTCTAGCAACCTTGTAGGACAGAGTGGAACTGCCCCAGGGAATTTCCATAGTTACAATCTTTATGGAAGCAACTGCAGATCTTTCCCCCTCGATGTGACTGCTGGGTTTGCGCCCCCAACCTACCAGTTAACACTTGAAGTCCCGAGGGATTCAGAGAAACTAAAAGCCCAAAGCTTCTAGGGAGAGTTAGAACTAGGCAGGACTGAGAAGGTGAAGAAGCATGAGGTGGGCACTTAGAGGTGGAGGAAAAGGTTTGAGCAGGGTGATTAGTTCAGAGTCCCAGTCAACTTGCTCACTGCTAATCAAACAGGTTAAGTTTCTGAGTCTGTCCAGAGGCCCCTCAGAAGAAAGGCCTGGCAACCTACTGCCGAAAAACCTGCCACTGAAGCCCCTGTAGAGCTCGTTTCTACCCTGATGCACAGGAGGTGCCGTAAGTCAGAGCCGACTTGTTGGCAGCTGTTTTATTCATTTGGTGGTTAGCTTAGTTGGACGATTGCGGAATGTGGTAGCATTTACAGTAGAGCTTCTTGAAAGCTAGAAATAGCATTTGGAGCTTCTCCATCGTGGGTGCCCATCAGGTTACCTGGTGAGCTTTTGAAACCCAGAGGCCCAGAACTCTACTCCGATGTCCTGAATCAGAATCTGTGGCCATCTGTGTTTTGAAAAACCTCCATAGGTCACGTAGAGGAGTGGAGGAACAGCTGGAGTAAAGAACCTCTGCAGTGAGAGCATGGATTATGACAGGACCGTGAACAAAACCCGAGTCTTATTTTAGACAGCCTGATCTTGGCAGCAGTTTGCAGTAAGAGTGAAAGGAGGCGGGCTGTATTGAAGGCACTGGATACTAAGTCTTGCGTGAAGTCGTGAGCCCTGGCTACAATCATAGGACTTAGGGCAGACTGGAAGTAGTGGATGGTTATTGCTATTGAGGTGCCATCAGGTTGATTGTGACTCGTAGCGGTCTCTGTGACAGAGTAGAGTAGCCAGCACAGTGTTTCTGAACCTCCCACCGAGCCACTGAGTAAGTTCCGACCACCAACCACCTAACTGTGCCACCTCCAATAAGCCAGCGAGTCAAAACTGACTCCTAGCGACCCGACTGGACAGGATAGACCTGCCCCTGTGAGTTTCTGAGATTTTAACTGCTTATGGAAGCAGAAAGCCCAGTCTTTCTCCCGATCCGTGCCACCAAGGGGTATTGAAGTATTTTAGGAGACACCCGGGTTTCCCGTTTGGGATGGAATAATGACCGTACACTTCAATGAAAATCATGCGAGTTAGTGGTACAACCGTATGCTTTGGGACCTTGCTAAGTTGCAAGTAATAGCAGAGCATACAAATAGAGTTTCCCCTTTGAAAACAAAGCTATTATGGGGTCAGTTCCAACTCAAGAGTGACCCCAGGCGGGTCATAGTAAGTCTATGTGCACTGTAGGCTTTTCAGTGGCTGATTTGTTGTGGGGAAATATACTACCAGACCTTTTTATGGAGAGACCTCTGAGTGACTCAGACCTCCAGTTCACAGCCAGTCACGTTAGCTGTTTAGACCAGCTAGGGACTCCGGTTGTCTCTGAGCTCCCCAGAGTGAAATGAAGTGCGGTACAGAGGCAAGATCAGAGACAACAAGTCCTTAGCTGCATGCCGACTGTCACAAAGGAAGTCAAGAGAGAGAGGCTGATGAGCAGATGGCCAAAAACGCCGTTCCGTGCACCATGCAGTGCCTTCCAGCATACGGAATTGCTCCCTGTCCCCATACAGTTTTATTTCATCTATAGAATGGAGTTAGTGACATTCCAAAAGATCCCAGAATGCTCCACACTGAAGTTAGAAGGCTTCTTTCTTGCCCTTTTGATGGAAACTCAAAACCGGATCTAGGTCAGGATATGCCCAGGGAAAGTAGACCCAGATGACCCTGGACCTGTGTTCCTATGTCAGAACTAAGCAGAAAGGTTCCCCGAGTCCAGGCACATCCCCCACCCCCACTGTCCCTGCTTTTCTGTGCCCTGCTTCTGCTCCAGGATGGTGTGTTATTCTGTCTTGTCTGCCTCTTCTTAGGGAAAAGCTTCAGGGAGCAGCAGTGTGAGAAATACAATGCCTACAACTACACTGACATGGATGGGAATCCCCTGCAGTGGGTCCCCAAGTACACAGGGGTGTCGCCCCGGGACCGCTGTAAGCTGTTCTGCCGAGCCCGAGGGAGGAGCGAGTTCAAAGTGTTTGAGACCAAAGTAAGACTCCTAGAACTCAGATCCAGAGAAGGGCAGGAAGCTCACCTGTCCTCGGCCACTGGATGGCAGCTTCTGGTCTCACCAGTGCCATCTCTGGTCTCTCTTACCTCACTGCAGGTGATCGATGGCACCCTCTGTGGGCCGGAGACACTGGCTATCTGTGTCCGCGGCCAGTGCATCAAGGCTGGCTGTGACCACGTGGTGGACTCTCCCAGGAAGCTGGACAAGTGTGGGGTGTGTGGGGGCAACGGCAACTCTTGCAGGAAAATCTCTGGCTTATTCAACCCCTCCAGGTAAGTGCCCCCATTCCTGGGTGAAAGATCAAAGTGGGTAAGAACACCGGCTTTGGGTTCCGGCCTAAGCTTGAATGGTGGCTGTCACATACTGTACTAGCTATGTCATGTCAACACTCTGAGCTGCTCTTTTCTGTAGTGCTGCAGGTAGGAATAGATTGTCTCTGAATCCGTTGTCATGACGCTGCTCAGAGTATGCTGGCTGTCTGCACCGAGAGCAGCCCCTCCAAGCTGGTTTGGGGAAGGGCATCTCCCCCTACACCTGAGAACCCCTGTCCTCCCTAGCTCTGGTGGATCTTCGGAACGGGCTACAGTGATCTTCGGAATGTGGTCTCAGTGCTTTGATGAACCTCAGAATTCCAGGCACTTGCCTCGCATCATTCCTTCCCACTTTCATATAGCCCCTGGTGATTTCCAAAGTGCCTTCCCTTCCTAAAATAATTCTTTGAGGTGAGCGAGGCAAAAATAATATGATCCCCATTTTTCACATGAAGAAGTTAAGGCATAAACAATGACGTGGATCTTATAAGGTTACATGGATCGTTAATGACAGAGCCCCAAGGAGAACTCAAAGGTCCTTTACACCTGGGCAACTTTTCTTCTGCCAATTCATGCAGCTCCTTAGAGAGTAAGAACAATGTGATATGTCTTATGTGATGCACACTTTGCCACTCTGGTGTCTGGGACATATATCCATCCTTCCTGCCGGCTACAGGAGCCTCCATCCCTCCTTCCACTCTGACCACCCACAGTATTTCAAGAGTTTTTGAAAAGTACTTACTAGTATTGTAACTAGGGAACTCTTGTCCCCTCCCTACCCCATTCTCTCCCCCCATCTCCTCTCTCCCCCGCCTGCTCTCTCCTCTCGCTCGCTTTCTCTCCTCGCTGGATTCAGAGAACAAAATCTGCCAAGAGAAAACAAGCTCAGGGTTTTCAAACTTAAACTCAAAGGAGAGGAGGAAGAACAACAGACTGGGCTACCCAGACACTGTGTCCCTTAACCTGATCTCTCTTGGGCATCGCATACTCTCATAGCTGCTCAGGGTAAACAGCTGTCCCCAGCTGGACATAAGTCAAGAAGAGCAAAGAACCAGATGGACTCTCCTCTTCAATATTCTTCACTTTCTTCCCACCCAGTGTAGCCCAGATACTTTCCCCTAAGAAGAAAAGAACAAAAGCCAAAGACTCTCCACCCCACACAAAGCACTAAGCCTCCCACAGAAGGAAAGCATTTCCCAAGACAGCATAATATCAGTGCAGAGCGCAGGGTGTGCTGAACATGCCCAGAGAAAAGAGTGTTAGACGCATTTGTTTCTCCCCGGTTCCCGACCTCGGGCCATATTAACCAAGCAGGAGCCATGCAGTACCAGCAACTGATAGACTCAAAGAAGTGCAATGAGATTTCTATCATCCTCCAAGAATTTGGAAACTACCGCCTCTTGGTCAATGGAGGCTTTCATTTTGCTACGATGCTGAACGGGTTTCAGCAGAGCTTCCAGACTAAGACAGGCTGGGAAGACCAGCCTGGCAATCTACTTCCAAAAACCAGTCACTGAAAACCCTACGGGTCACGATGGTCTGATCCAGGGGTGCAGAGGGTCACTGTGACTCAGGTAAGCAGCAAACGACGGGGTTGAGGGAAGGCGTCTGTAAAGCAGATTTCTGCGTGTGGTTCTGAGCACAGTGAGTAGAGCTGGATAAGCAATGTTTTACACCAGTGTCAAGGACTGAGTACACTTCAGCTCTCCTTTCAGTAAAGAGGTGGCAGGTCTTATAGGATGGATGCAGATCTTTAAACCCTTCTGGGCTTTCTTCCTCTTTGGACTGTTGGCAAGACTCATGTATCTAAACTCTTCAACCCAAACTTTGGAAATAGAGTTGCCAAATGGAATCAAAGCCCTTGAAAACTCCAAAGTACAAAGCATTCCTCTCTGCCTCCGCAGGTAATTTGTTTAGAACTTTAAGACCCATTGCATAATTATCTGCTGACTGTTTCTATCCCAGCCCAGTTGTGAGCATGCTAACTCCCTGAGGCACCGGCATGATGTCGGCTGTGTAACCCTGGGTTCTAAGGGCCCCTTTCTGTTCTTATCATAGTTATGGCTATAATGACATCGTCACCATCCCAGCTGGTGCCACTAACATTGATGTGAAACAAAGGAGCCTCCCCGGCGTGCAGAATGATGGCAACTACCTGGCGCTGAAGACCTCTGATGGACGGTACCTGCTCAACGGTAACCTGGCCATCTCTGCCATGGAGCAGGACATCTTGGTTAAAGGGACTATTCTTAAGTACAGTGGTTCCATTGCCACCTTGGAAAGGTTGCAGAGTTTCCGGCCTCTACCTGAGCCGCTGACTGTCCAGCTCCTGACAGTTCCTGGTGAGGTCTTTCCCCCAAAAGTCAAGTACAGCTTCTTTGTTCCGAATGATGTGAACTTCAGCATGCAGAACAGCAAGGAGAGAGTCACTACCCACATCATCCAGCCCCTGCTCAATGCACAGTGGGTCCTGGGGGAATGGTCGGAGTGCTCAAGGACCTGTGGGGCTGGCTGGCAGCGGCGGACTGTAGAGTGCTGGGACTCCACAGGCCAAGCTTCAGCCACCTGCGAGGAGGCTCTGAAACCCGAGGATGCCAAGTCCTGTGGAAGCCAACCATGCCCTCTGTAAACGGGGGGGCAGGGACCGGCATGTTCGTGGTCTTGGGGCACAGGGGCATAGACAAGGACCTCCACCATGGTGATTCTACATAGTGAGGTGGTACGTCCTGCCCAGCCCTCCTATTGCCACTGCCCCTTGGATACTACATGAACTCATAACGGGGAGCAGACGAGGGGATGGATGAGACAGATCCTTCAGGAACTATCTAGTCCATTGGACCTTGCTTTGGTTCATATAGAAGATATAGGTTAAAAGGTAAAAAGTACACTTATTGACCTGAACAGGAGACTCCCGAGTCAATCTGTTTGCAAAATACTGCCCAAGTTTAATGGGGGTGGGGGAGAACTTTTCTATTTGTATTCCCCAGTAAATAATCTACCTCAGAGGGGGGAAAAATTAGTAAATGGTATGGGAAGCTCTATGGTAATTTTCCGAGTGTGCATCAGAGCTGTGGCCCTGGGCTGTCTTTTTAAAACGATGATGACTATCTTCAGTATTAAAATCCACTGCCTGAAGGGCTGCAGGAATTCAAGGTTGTGGGGAGCCAGACATTCTCAGGCGTCCACCTGCAGGGATGGAGCCATTTCAAGTATTTATGCAAATATGTCTCCAAACTAAAGTGTGATCTTGTGCGAATGTCAAGGTCTGGTCAGCTTCGTGATCTCTGTGAAAGGGGAGGGGACGTGAAGCCCCAAGATGAAGACTGCCCTAGGTGGGCTCATCTCAGACACACAAGAAGGCTGGCATCGTGCCTGACTGGGTCTCTTCAGGCCTCGTTCCTCGGTAAATAATACAGATATTGCTTTATGTTCTGATATGCCTGCTGAGCCCAGGTCATTTGGGCAACGTTGTTCATTTGTTTCATCTCAACTGCATCTCTTGGTCTCCAAGCCAGCCTCATCAGGATCACCTGGAGGACTTATTAAAACATGGATTTGCTGGACCCCCACCCCCAGCGTCTCTGTTTGAATGGATAGGGCCTGAAAATTCGCCTTTCTCACAAGCTCCAAGGTGACATGGATGCTTGGTTTGGGAACCACACTTTCAGGGCCACCGCACTAGAGGCAGCTTCCAAGTCCGAGCTACTAATAATGACAGGAGGCCTCTGCCCTGACTCTTCGTGAGAAAGGAAGTCTGATCCCATTATGCATGCCTCCCCACCATCGCTTTAACGCCACAAGACTCTCCTTTCATTATCTGAGCAACATCATTCCAATGCCCTCAGATCCTTCCTTCTCCCCATCCTGAACTACATCAAATGTCAAGCCCTTTACATGACTCTTTTAGCCCAAGCCACTCACAGCTGTCCCAATCAGAATCCACTTACACAGACAAGCATTCCCTCCCAGCCATCCGAATATTCCTGAGAGCTCAAAACCTCCCGATTTTGGTATTCCTTCCACTTCTGCTCTTTGACCCACTGAAAGTCTCTGGGTTGATCCGGCCGAGCAAACAACCCAGAAACAAATGTTTCCTAACCCTGTTGCTCACCATGATGAACAAAGTGGTTCAGCAGCTCCCGGCCCGAGGCTGGGCTCAACCATGTGAAAGTTTCCCAGGAAGCTTCAGATTTGAAACAGTTTTGTCTGCAGAATGCTCAACATGACCCCCTGCTGACTGGAGTATCTTCAAGTACAAATCCCTTTAGACCCCCAGAAAGTCTATTCATTTTTTGTAGTAAGATGAACCTTTCAAAGGTTTCCTAAGCCACATTTCATGAACCAGTGACTATTCAAGGAGCGTTGAATTTGAAGCTTGTGCATAAGTGTGTCTCCACAGTTACATGTACCATACTATACAAACTTCTATGTTTGTCAGTCCTCAACACCTACCTCTAAATTTTCATGAACTTCTATTTCACAAGGGCTGTTTTGTATACACTGGCATCTGCATATAATAAAACACGTAGTTCAGAAAGAAGAATGTCTGGGTCAGGCTTCATGTGGCCTGGGGTAGTGAGAACATTGTCTATGGTCACCAATGGGTGGGAAGAAACAGGCACGGCATTCCAGTAAAAGAAGGACAATGTCTCAATTTCCATCTTCCCTGTTTTCTATAACTTTGGATCATTTTATCTTTTCCTTCAGATTTCTTTCAAAATATCTTCAAACATATGGTGATCTCTTCAAATATGTGGCATAAAGATGCTATGGGAGCCCTTGTAAATTAGACAAAGGTGAGAGAAAGATGAGGTTCTCTACTCCCGTAAAGAGGTACAGTCTTGGAGACCCACAGGAACAGTTGTATCCTGTCCAACAGGATCACTATGGGTCAGCATCAACTCAATGGCAGAGAGTTGGTCTCTATTGGGGAGACCTGGTTTGTGAAAAATGGTTAGCACATTGGGCTACTAACCGAAAGTCTGGAGATTCAAGTGCACCGAGAGAAGAGCACTCTGCCAACTGACTTCTGAAAGACCAGCCACTGAAAACCCCGTGGAGCACAGTTGTAATCTGACATGCACAAGAACTCATCATGACTCAGAATCAACCCAACTCCACAGCACCTGGATTGGGTGACCCCCAGGGAGAACTCATCCCCTATAAGCATAAGGCGAGACACAGGGGTCTTTGGCCCCTTACTTCCTACTTGCTTGGTCATGTTTGTGCAATAAACTAACTACACAACTCTACATGGGGGCAGTTGACAGACTTGACCACTTGTCCCTGTCTGTCTACTCTCTTCAGAGAGTGGGAGGCTGACCTTACTTAAACAAGTGCACAGGCATACAAGTAAAGCCCACTTTTTGTTGCACACCAGTTTTGTTGAGGCTGAGATATGTTTCTGAAACTATCTCCTTCCGTTTTTCATTCTTCCCAAATTAATGAAGGCCAAATGCATCATCCCCAGTTGCAGCTCTTGCCCTGAAGTTTAGCTGGCAGCCGAGCTGTTGATGTGCAAAGCAGAATGGAATCCCACTTGGCTCTCCTTGCTGTGTGGGCTCGGCAAGACGCACAGAATGCATACTTGTTTGTGTCTGGAAACTCAGCAGCTGCAGCTCAGGGACTCCAAACACAGACCTGCTGAGAGAGGCCGCGCCATTCTCACAGACACCCCCACACCCTCCCCTCGGCCAAGCCCTGGCCACCCTTGTAGCCCCAGAAAAGGGAATTCTGGATTCCCTCTGCTGAGAACTTGCATGTTTCCAATGAGTGCTTCTAATGGGGCATTCCCTATGCCATCACTTTGCAGGTAATTTACTTGGTCATCAATATGGACCTTCGAAATGCCTGCCAGAAGTATTTCAGTGTTCAGTTCGCATTGAAGTTCATTTTCATCCTTGTGTCCTTAAGATGGTGAATCATGGCATGGGCTTAATTCCCTGCCCTTAACTCTCCTATAGCTGACCAGAGAGATTTGTGAATTTACAAGGTATGCAACTCTACTCTTCCCCAACCCACTGTAGCAAACCAAACTCCTTTCTGAGGCTATTACCTGGCATCATGGAACAATCTTGTCACTGGCTCTGTAGTGTGTCTCAGGTAATGCCCTTTGCTTTTAGACTTTTTAGCCAACTGGGCCCTCTTAATGAGGACTGATCCAGGTTACTGGTGTCCAAACCTGTTGTTTTTCTGATTTTTCTTTTGAACCTATTCATTTTCTCCCCAAAATTTCCCTCCCTACCCCATCTTTAGAAACAACATTGGCAACAAAAATTGAAAAGAAAAAAAATAGAAAAGTTAAAGAATATGTTTTTAAAACCTTGTGCTTTCTCTTTACATTCTCAACTTAGGCTCTATGTGGCACCGTTGTTATGTGTTGGGCTTCTAACCTCAAGGTCCACAGTTTGAAACCACAGTTCTGTGAGTAAAAGACGGGGGCTTTTTACTCTTGTAAAGAGTTGCAGTCTCGGAAACCCACAGAGGTCATTCTAACCTGTGCTACTGAGTCACTATGAATTGGCATCCACTCGATGGCAGTGAGTTTGTCTGTTTCTGTCACTGCTGCATCATTAAACATATAGGCTGATAAGACTTTCACACACACCTCAAGCAGTGAAGGCAGTGTTTCAGGTAAGGTTGAAATGACTGTCCTTGCCACCTGTATGTGTTGTTACTTTTACATCCTCTCCATGCCATCGAGTCGATTCATACTCATGGTGACACTGAAGGACAGAGCAGATCAGCCCCTGTGGGTTTCCGAGGCTGTAGATCTCTATGGGAACAGAAAGCCTCATCTTTCTCCCCGGGAGCAGCTGGTGGTTACAAACTGCTGAGCTGGCAGTAATAGTCCTATGTGAAGCACACTGTGCCACCCAGGCTCCTGTTGTTATTGCTAGCTGCCGTTAAGCCGACTGACTCATAGTAACTTTACGTATTGCAACAGAATTAGATGGTGCCAGGTCCTGCATCATCATCACCACTGCCAACATGTTTGAGTCCACTGTTGAAAGTCTTGTGCCAGTCTATCTCATCCAGGATCTCCCTCACCCTTTCTGCCCCGCTACTTCACTAAGCATGGTATCTTCCTCCAGATGTCCAAGTGAGTCAGAGCCATAATCATTGGCTATGTGGAAGAAGAAAATCAATGGAAAGCAGCTGCACAGGTCTCTCTTTGTCTGGCAGCTCCATCAAAACCTATCTTACCATGGTGACTTTGCTAGTATTGGAAATGCTGGTGGCTGGGTGCAGCATCAGAGCAACACTCAGGCCACCATAATATGACTTTCTGACAGATGAATAATACTGCTCTGTGCGTACTGCTTCCACATTCCCCACCTTTATTTCCACTGGTGGCAGAATAATCTACTACCCAGGTCCTGAGCACCTACTGCCCATGAGTACTAGAATAGAAAACAGAGCAATGGGGAGATTCAACAGCACTTGGGAAATAGCAATAAGGGTTTGTTCTCATTGGTTGCCCTTGACTGAGAATAGTAAATAGATCTTTATTAGGAAACCTCTCCTCAAGCAGGAAAGTATTCCATTGACCCTTAGGATGAATTTTCAGCTTCAGGAAAAGGAAGAAGTTACCTATCTAAATTGCCTTTTGTGCTGCCTTAATTTAGGTGTTCATTAGCGTAACGAATATTGACCTTACCTATTTTTAAAAATTGAGTTTTGAAGGAATAGAGTGGTTAGGTTGTGACTCAATGTGGCCTTTCCTACCACACTTATACCATAACCACCATTGCTAGACCCTTCTTTGTTCTCTCGATTAACACTTCACAAGGTTCTTGTAAGGGAAAAGGCTTTTTCAAGGCCGAGTACTACTATGCCGTTACTTGCAATTGCTAAGTAGTTTTTATGCAACTCCTACTGTGATCAATTTGGAGACCTGGAGCCCTGGCAAAAAGACACCTTTGTTACCCAGAGAATGGAGAGGAGTCTGCAGTTAGATCACCAATGGCATGACCTGAGTGAGCAAGCCTTTAGTAAACTCCCAGCCTCTTGCTTCAGTCTCAGCCCACTTCATCCTTGGATGTCAATTCAGAGTAGCTGGTCTGTGCCCAGAAACCTGGCAAACCAGCAAGAAGACCGGGGAGGTGGCTCCGTGGGGACAGTCTTGGTGGCTAGTGAGTTCTCTGTGGAGAGGTCGAGCCTGTAAGCATCTCCTGGGGGACTCTCAAGCTTTGTGTGGACTGTTACATGAGTCTGGGGATGCCCAGATAATGCCAACTGGCACAGAACAGTTGTGGGAAACCACTGCGTTAGACAGGGTTCTCTAGAGAAACAAAACCAGAACGCCAATAATTTTATATATATTTATACATATATATAGAGATAGATAACATAAGAAATAAACAGTTAATTAAATTATAGAGCAGTACAAATGGCTCAGTGCAACTCACTCCCATGAGACACTTGTGAGACACTGGCAGTCCTTCAAGTCTTGAGGGCTGCCAGGTAGTCCTCTGTAACACAATTCAGGCTATCCGGGCACAGGTAACAAACAGCAAGGCAGGTCACCAACAGTCAGCCAGATGACAGGGTCCGATAATCCCCAGCT